ATCGGGCACAACTGAATGTCAACCCGTTGAAAGACGAACAGAGAGAAAGACCTCTGAATTATATTGTTATTTTGACGCGTTACCTTACGTCCAACACCGCGACAACCGCTACAATCGGAACGGACACTTCCACGGTAACGAATACATGGAAATTGTGGAGCTCCCGCAGCGACAGAACGTAGTAACGAATTGTCGCTGAGTAACAACGGATGAGACGAAACACGATACCGGTGTAATCTATAAAGAGCGTTCCCGTAACAACGGACTGCCTGAACAGCGGTAACGGGACCGCGAGAAATGATGTCTGGTATCCGGTCCGCATAACCCCTATATAAGCAGAGCTTACGACACGTACAGAGCATTGAGAGAACGAGACACTCTTGGGATAGCCGCCGCCAGAGACTGTTGAGATCCAACCACGGCCAAGGATAGTTGAGACGTCCAACGGAGTATTGGGCCAGGAGTCAAGTGACACTGCAAGTGATAGTAATCGTAAGGTGTGTAAATGTGAGTGTCCAATAAAGATTCGCTAAATCCGAGACCCACGTGAAGTTATTTGTCGCGTGACGTACCCAACACGTGACATTGTTTTATGCACTTTATGAAAGGAAAACATCAACTTTAGTGCTTTCTATAGCTTTGACTTTGTAATAAAGGTAAAAAGGTAAAGTTCTCCTTTTGCTTAGCTAATTAAGCGCTACGCCATGATTGCGTATGGGGGAGTGGATGTATAGAGGCACATTTTCTTGACCTCGACTCTTGTTGGAGGTAAGTGGTCAGCTTCACGCCCTGGCAACTTTGATTATGTAAAACTATTATAAAACGTTTTTTTACTATACAATAGGAACCAAGCAAAAAACTGCGAAGAAGTGCAGCAGAATACCACGCACATACAGAGATCTCTGTAGGTTAGGAGTATCGCAGCCAGAAATATGAAATTTTAGCCTAAATTTTGTACGTTTCTCTTATGGTATAGTTGCGTGAAAGACGTTATCCGGTTCCGGTAGACTCCATTCCTGCGCGCGGGTTGCGGACTGCCAGGCTATGTCACCGCTTCTTAAAAAACAGCTTGTGTTCTTCACATGTAGCTGATTTGTATCTGGGATCAGTTGTCACGTAATTAAATCCAGGAATTGCAAGTTCATGTCAGCCTGCGTCAAGTCGCTGTAACAAAGTGAAAAATAAAGCACTAATTGAAGAATGCAGCTAATGTGGTTTTGCTTGATATGTTTCGAGATAACAAATTTGTGTTGACAATGTCCGTTGACACGATATGTCACGTCTGATCTGAGTCTCGGTTTCTCATGGTGTAATGGTTCCAAGTCACGCAGATTCTTCGATCGCTATTCCGTGACTTGTCAGTGCCGTGCTCACGCAATGTGATATTGGAGCCGCATTGTTTGATAGACAAGCTCAACAGGTCGCCTGCATTCAGAATCCTCGACCCTGCCGCACTCTTTTCCTCCTGATTCATTTATCCTCCCCTCTTTTGCACAGTTCTCTTTTATGTTGTACCAATTATTTTTACAGCAACTATTCTATGTCAGGACAGAGCGGGGAAAGTTGCGTTCATTCTTACGTTACTCAGCTCTGAGTTTTACCTACGTCCAGACTGTAATATCGACTAACCTATTTTCTGTTCCCTTCCCCCCTCGACTGTCGTTTTGTGCGACTCTGTGCCCGTTGCTCAAATTATGTAACGTAGAAATAACGGTCACGTTAGCCGCGCGGTCTAAGGCATGCACTGTTTTCACTAACTCGAACGCTGCGATCGTGGGTTCGAATACCACTCTAAGGCACCGATGTCTGTTTGTGCGTTTATTCTGTGTGTAGGCAGCGGCCTTGCAACGAGTCCTACCGACTATGCAAAAAAATATCACGAAACTGATGAAGAGACCAGGGCCCAGCAAGGGCTGTAGAGCCACTGATGAATGAATGAATGAGAACTAAAACTGGCATTAGAATGAAGACTTGCGATTTGGCAGAAATGTGAAAGAAAAGTTCGCGTGTTTGTATGAACGACTGGAGAACGCTAAGACAGGCTCCTCCTAAGGGAAGTGCTTAGCAAGTAGCTTAATCGTAGTACTTTCTTCTGGCACATTTTATTTATGGTAGGTTGGTACCTTGTGATATTACTTCGTGTCTTTATCGTTCCCTCCCGTTTATCTTCATCTTCTTTTGTCTTTCGTATTAGCCCTCTTGGCCTATTCCCGCCAGAATTAATCTGGTACTATGAATCTTTATACAGAGTCGGTAGGACTCCCTGGATGGGTGATCAGCTATTATCATTTATAATGAATAGACAACCACTAGTTGAACTGTCCTATAGGATTTATTGCAGCTGCATAGTATACACAGATGGATAACAACAATAGTGAACTGCTCGAACACTGAACTGGTATTGAAGAACGGTAGAACTAGACTGTAAACTGTAACTCAGTGTATCTTCTTATGTAGCCTAGATCAGACATATAGAAAACGGTTACGTAATAGGTACTGCTATTGCCGGTTACCGTGTTTATAAGTTCCCTAGCAACCGCTGTTTACTTGCTTCTGCCTAGCAACCGTTGTTTACTCGTTGTTGCTAAGCAATGATGCTTGCGTTGTCACACTTGCTTAAATGTGGGCAGTTCCCACATTTCTAATACACTTTTCTTTATTCCACAGAATGTCACTTTGCAGTAACTGATTCGGCGCTGTTCACAATCTGTTTAGTAATCAGTCATCAGAACCTTAGTTACTCGCATTTTGAACATTATATTATTAAAATGGGCCGAATCTGCTTTCTAAATTAGAATTTTCATAGACAATGGATTCCAATTCCGAAAATTTTCGAATGACATTTTCTTGCTCAAACAGATATTTACGTATTTTCTTTAATTTTTCCCATTTTCCGTAACAGTTTCGAGTATAATAGAAATATCACATATACCAGAAGGAATTTAATTGGCACTATGGCGCAAATTGTACACTCGCTTCATTTTCAGACGTCTATTAAAAACGGCGCGAAAATTATATGCGTTTATAGTTTCTTTAACGATGTCAGTAATTAAGATTGTATAATGTCGAATTTTTCTTTATGATATAATATAATATAATATATAATGAATTGAAAATGCTGTAGAAGGGAAGCGGTTGTAGCCTGATTTAAGGTACTGTCCCTGAAATGTTGCCTGAAGGGATTGAGAAAAACCACGAGCGCCCCAGCCGAGATTCGAGCCGAACCCCTTCCGGATGCGAGCCTGAAGCGTTACAGCTGAGAGATAAAACGTCACAAATACTTATGGTGGTGTTTGCTGTAACTCTTCATCTGAAAGAGAGTCCCATTTTGAGCTTGTGGGGACCGGTTTAGCGACGGGCTACGGGATGGACGATCGGGGTTCGTTTCCCGGTAGAGTCAAGAGGTTTTTTTTATATTCCACAAAGTCCAGACCGCCTCTGGAGTCCACTCAGCCTCCTATCCAGAGGATACTACGGGCTGTTCCCCCGGGAATAAATCTGCCGGGACGTGAAGCTGAACACTCACCTACACCTAGTACCGAGATCAAGAATGGTGGAGCTATAACTCCACTCACACATACATCTTTACGGCGTGGTGCTTAATTAGTAACTAAGCGCAGGGATAACTTTTAGCTCTAATTAAAGGCTCAGCCACAGTTGTCCTACATCTGCAGTGCTTGCACTTCATCACAAGTTCCCATGAAGTTTCCATACATATTGTACTGAAGTGAGGAGGGTTCAGTGCTTGAGAGGTGGATGGCCAGACAAGACACAGACCTATAAGATATCACGTGTTTAGTTGCTTGGGTTGGGGTGAGGCTGAGTCCACTTGGTACGTCGGCCACTAATTAGCATATTGTACCAGCCCCTGATGATAGATGATGATGATGAATGTGGAGAAGTCGTTGGAATGAGAATTTGCAGGGGAAACCGAAGTACTGGAAGAAAACCTGCCCCAATTCCACTATGTTTACCATAAATCCCACGTAACCTAACCTGGGCTCGAACCCGGGCCTCCGCTATGGAAAGCCGGCGTTTAATCGCCTCAGCTATGACATGGCTCTATGTCACGTGTTGTTGTTAGGAAAAGGAAGTGAAGTTTAGAAATGAACCATTACAGTGGGCCCCATTTCATCACGGCACGGTAAGACCTCAGGTTGCAATTGGAGGGGACGTCCTGTAGATACGGATGATAGACGATGACAACCGAGATAGGGTGGTTCTCCATCGTGGAGCATGGACAGGAAGGAAATGGTTCCTCGCCGTAAAAGCATCGCAAAAGGCAGCAGCTTAAGATTCCTCAAACACGCCTCCGTCACCGGGCTCTCATCCTAAGGGAAACGCATATGTGGAAGATGTCTGACAAGAATGTTCGGAGAATATTCACAGTAGCCGTTCGGTAAAACCTCTGATGAGCCAGATGAATCCAGTCTACTCCCTTATACCGTACTTATTAAATGTATTCGCATATATATCTTTCATAGTGGAGTGGGGGAACCAGATTTGTGACTAGACCGGACTCACGCTCACCTCTCAGGTTCTGCTCTTACGAACACAACGTGTCCACCAAAGCGTTTCTTCCATTCAGGATTTCCGACGGAATTTTCTAACATGCGTTTAAACATTGAAATGGTTTTAGAAGAATATTCTGTAATGTAAGTTGAAAGATGAGAAGGTATAGTTGCCCCTGTGCTACCCAGTGAAAATGTATTTGAGGATGGAGGCGTAAATCCAGAATTCTTGAGCTCAATAATAGATGCAGGTGAGTGATTAACTTCATGCCCTGTCCGCTTTACCTCCTGGGAAAGAGCCCCGGGTACCCATTGTTCGAGCCCAAATCCGGATGCTGTGGAGAAGAGAAAATCTCTTTCTCCTACCGGGAATGGAACCCCGGCCGTCCGGCCCATAGACGGTCGCTAAACGACTGAGCTATCTTGACTCCTAATTTATGTTGTAAGTAGCGAAAAATAAATGCCTTGTGTTTGTTCTGTTCTCCGCAGATGGATATCTTCTTGAAGACACTCTGCATTCGCCTACTTCTTCTTCTGGCGGAGACCTCCACCAGTCGGTTCCTCTTCCTGTGTTTCTCGAGGAGCCCACAGACTCCTACGTTATCAAGAACAAACCGGCTACATTACAATGCCGAGCCGCCCACGCCTTGCAGGTGTACTTCCGGTGCAATGGCGCCAGGAAACAGCATTCATCTTCAGCCAACTCACCACCAATGCAGCAAGACTTTGTAGACCCCCAGACGGGAGTTCGTAACGTCGAGGCGTCTATCAATATTACGCGTAATGAAGTGGAGGAATATTTTGGGAAAGACAAATTTAAATGTGAATGCATCGCGTGGTCCAGCAGAGGGCAGATCCGCAGCCAGCCAGCCGCCGTTGATGTCGCATGTAAGTACAGAAACCTTTCTGTCAGCCTACTTCCCTTATTTTGAAAAAAAAATGAAAATAGGCGTATAAAATCACCTTGCTCTCAGTGTGTGTGTGTGTGTGTGTGTGTGTAGTTCCCCTGAACACCTTCTGAATGCCTGAACCAGTCTTTATAAAACTCTGTATATCATGCCACCCTAGCCCATCTAAACAGCGTTCTGTAGTTTGATTCTTTCATGTACAATATGTGTTAATTATTTTTTAATTAATTCGCTTAGTGGGGAGTGGAGTCCAACTGGGTCCACTCGGCACGGCGGCCACTGATTGGCCTATTGTAGCCTGCCCCGGGTGATTATAATGATGGATAATTTGATGGAATGAAAATTGGCAGGGGAAACTGAAGTACTCGGAGAAAACCCGCCGCAGCGTCACTTTGTCCACCACAAATCCCACTTGACCAGGCCCGGGATCGAACCCGGGCCGCCACGGTGGGAAGCCAGCGAATAACCGCTTGAGCTATGGCGCGGCGGTGTCAATTATTATGCTCCTCACAAAGAGTCTCAACGGTCTCGGTACTTGAGTAGGCCAAACGAAGTGAAGTGCCTATATTTCTTCTCATGCAGGCGGTCCATATGCCGCATTTTCCAGTGGAAATCCTCCTCGTGGAGTCGAACCGTGTACGGTTTACGGAAGGCTGGTTTCTTTATATGCGATAATTTCCAGAGACTGCGTTGGAAACATTTGCACTGACACTTCTACAGTGTATATACATAAATTCAGCAAATAAAGCGTCAAGCTATGCCCAGTTAAAACTAGCTCAGTAAAGTACATACATACTGTAAAAATCAGCCCATTTTAATATAGCAAGAAGTTCTGGGAAGAATTAGTTGCTTACTTTTCTCTCAATATATACTGAATATTTGGTACGACAAGTGGGGCAGAATTTATAATATATGCATAAGCAAGTCAACAATTCGATAGTATAGAATCTGTTTTTATAGAAACTCAATTGCACACGTATTAAAAGAATTTAAAGCAGTAAAGCTGTTTTCAGAGCTTCAGTTAGAACAGGGTGTATCACGGGGATTTACGAAGTACGTCATTGAGAAGGGTACAGATAGCATGATATACATACCAAATTTAATGACAGTTTCAGCATCAAATTAATATTAAGGTTTTTACATCAACATTTTTAGAGGCTTCAGTGTTGGTATTACTGATGGGAAGATTTATGAAGTATGCCGTTGACATGCCTTCATGTTCCATAATATACGTACCAAGTTTCGTGAAGACTGGTACAGGCGTTCAAATAATATTGAGGTTTTCCTCAGCAATTTTTGAGGCTGTAATATTGGTATTATCGATGGATGCAATATATGAAGAACACCATTCAGATGGCTTCTGGTGGCATGATATTCTTACGAAGTTTTATGAATATTGGTTCAGGCATTCAAACAACATTAAGGTTATTACCGGATCAATTTGAGAGGCTGCAGTGTTGGCATTATTGGTGGGAGGAATTTATGAAGTACGCCGTTGATATGGCTTCGTGTAACATGATACACATACTCAGTTTTATAAGGATTGGCACAGGCGTTCAAGCAATATTAAGGTTTTTCCTCAGCGATTTGTGAGGATGTAATGTTGGTATTACTGATGATCAACATGATACACATACTCAGTTTTATAAGGATTGGCACAGGCGTTCAAGCAATATTAAGGTTTTGCCTCAGCGATTTGTGAGGATGTAATGTTGGTATTACTGATGAGAGGGGTATAGGCAGTGACCGCTCGTTTCCGGAAAGAGCATTTAATTCTAAACAAGGTAAATATATCAGGGACCAGACATAGGAGCCACTGAGACTGATGACGGTGGCAAGCCCTTTGATACTCCCGGTAGTCTGGTTCATGAAAAGCATTGCATTGCTAATGCAGAACCATTCCATTACTGCTCGTACATAAACATGATGTTCCATTAATGCTTTCTTTGTTTACGATTACCCCACTACGAAATGCTATGATATAAATATACAGTATGCACTTGACATGTGCAGGCCAGACCGGTTCTCACGCCCTCTGCATCCCATCCGGGTTGTTATGAAGCCGATGAATACAGGAGACCGGTGTGCGTGTGGCAGGGAGAGTGAGGGACAGTGGTGCAACTGGAATTTTCAGCCTACTTGCATTGGTACTTGTGCTTTTTGTACAGGAGAACCGGTGTTAAACTTTAATTTTGTAAACTTCATAAAAATGTAGCAAGTGTATGACATATTGAATTACTGATTATTTGAAATTTATTTAACGTCGCCGCACGGTGTAAGGCATGAACTGTCTTCGCCCGCTCAAACACTGGGATCGTGCGTTCGATTCCTACTTCAGGCATTAGTTGTCTATGTGCGTTTATTCTGTGTCTCATCCCCCACCAAAGGGGTCCTGCCGACTGTGAAAAATGTGAAGAAACTAAGAAAAGCGGCCGAGGTCCAACAAAGGTACCCATATATAGATATCAGCGGGTCAAGTAAAAATTGACAGTTTGTAGGATATGAGGAGCTCACAACGGTGATTATGAAGAGGTCTATCTTGGACATAGCACCATGTAGTCCGACTCTATATTCCGGAAGGCAAAACCTCTTTAAATGAGAGTTATATATGAAGAATGATGTTGACTGGATTGTTTATTTATTCCTGAATTTATTCAAATTTCACGTTAATAACATTGATTTTGAATGGAGTGTTTATTTATTCCTAAATTTATTCAAACTTCACGTTAATGATATTGATTTTGAATGGATTATTCTTTTATTCCTTAATTTATTCAAGCTTCACGTTACTGATATTTGTCTGCTTTATTTTCCGGTCTAGTAAACCGAGATTAACGGCCGTGGGAATCCTTTGTGCTGAACACGCGACACCCTCTATCCGTTAAAGTTGGCACTGACTTCGCCGACAAGCGGCGGTCGCTCGATCGGCATAGTTCGCTTACGGACTAAGGTGTGTGCTCTCTTCGAACGTCCAAACACTGGGATCCGTGGATTCAAATCCATTTGGAGAACGGTTATAACTATGCGTTTATTCTCTTCTTGTCTTAATGAGGAGCTTCATAACTTGTACTCTTCTCCAAGCATAATTAGAATGATCAAGTCAAGGAGGATGAGATGTGCAGGGCATGTAGCACGAATGTGTCCGAAGAGGAATGCATATATGATACTGGTGGGAAAGCCAGAAGGAAAGAGACACTGGGAAGACCAAGACGTAGGCGGGTGGACAATATTAAAATGAGTCTTTGAGAGATAGGATGGGATGGTATGGATTAGATTGATCTGGCTCAGGATAGAGACCAGTAGAAGGCTCTTGTGAACAGGTCAGTGAACCTTCGGGTTCCATAAAATGCTGGGAAGTTCTTGACAGTGGCAGCTTGTCAAGAAGGACACAGCTCCGCGAGAGAGTGGTTCTCTGCTTGTGTTTTCCTGTGTAGGTAGCGGCTTTGCTGTGAGCATATCCCCTATTTATGGGTTCCTGTCAGTTTTTTTCAAGATTCTTAATTTCAGGTGTTAAGTCTGAGTTTACACTGGCCCTGCAGTACGAAGTTCCTCAATAAAATAACGTAAAGAGTGAAAGTTGTTCCTGTGTTTAATTAATTAAGCACAATGCAGTGAAGGCGTATGGGGGAGTAGAGATATAGATCCACCATTTTTGACCTCGGCAGTAGATAGAGATGATTGATCAGCTTCACGCACGCCCGTGCAACTTCGTGCCGGGGCAGAGCTCCTGGTACCTATTGGAGAGGAGGTCGAATATACCCAAGAGCCGGTCTGGATACTGCGGAGGCGAGAGAAATCCCTTGACCCTGCTTAATGCCGACCACACATGCGGGAAAGTAGAGTAATGTACCAGCGTAGTCTTGGGCTTGAAATTTTGGTTCAGATTATCAAATATTACTGCCATATTTCATATTTAATCTTGCGGCTGGTATATTTAATCTTCGTGTATCTAGATATTAACATATGGGCGGGTTCTTTGGCACGATGAATGGTTTATTTTAGGTATACCGGGAGGTTCACCTTCATCACTGTAGATACAGGAAGCTATGATAAATCTTTGCATGAGTGGCGCAGTCGAGTCTCCCGTCATTCCTGAAGCAGGGCAGTATATCACAAGGGGATGAAGGGGCGTTACACGTGTGTGTAAGGGAAAACAACCCTCCCCTTTATATAGCATACGGTATCGTGTTACGCCGTTACTCTGCTTGTTATGAAATACTGATTTCCAAGTCATGGGAGCAGTATCCCAGACCAGAGGCTATCAGCTAATTAGGGTAGTCTAGGAAGTCCTTCCTTTATTGCATACGCCTTTTGTGCTCTCACAACACGGCCATATCGCTCAACTTTGTAGCAGCAGCGCAGATGCGGGATAGTACACAAGGGAAATATATACGTTGACTAATTTTAATGTGTAAAATAATTTGAGGCTGTTCGCTATATTTTAGATAATTAGATTCATCACAGATTATATTAGATTATAATGACTTCTCGGTTAGGACGGGATGGACATGTAGTTGAGAAGAGAAACGAAAGAGAGTGTAATTAGAAGATTAAATTAATGTTTGATCTGAAAGAATTACTGTGTGAGGCGACGGATTGGATTCAGCTAGCTCAGAATTATTTCCAGCTGAGGGCTTTTATGTTTACTGGACTGAACTTCAGAACTTTTAATAGGAAAGGAAGTCGCTAACAGCTTCCCAAGAAGGAATTTGCGTCATGAAGTAATTTGAGCCCTTGTTAGTTTCAGTGTAGTTCGTAGTTTCATTTAATGATTCCGCGAGCAGCTCAGACCACATAGCCTTGAATGATTCCATAATGACGGCTAATGAATTAGAAGATGTGGAAGCAAACGGTCGTGGCCTAATTTTAAGGTATTCTTCCGGGTGATCGGGTAAAAGACCACGAAAAAGTTCGGAGTAGTTATTGTTCCGGGCCAGATTTGAACCGAACACCCCCCGAATACAAATCAGAGGC